CCCCCGAGTCCTGCCACGTGAGCTCAGGCCGGCCTCGCGCCCCTCGGGTTCCGGAACGCACGCCCTGGTGCTTGTCCCGGGCTTAACCGAGGGACCCCTGCGAGGCTGCGCGCCATCAGCTGCCAGCACCGGCAACAAACCTGCACTGGTACCCCGGAACCGGCCACTTACCGCGAGGGGCGCAGGTACCCGGATCCGGCCCCCATCCAGGAGCGTGGCCACTTCCCAAGAGGCCCGGGAAACCCTAGATCCGGCTTTCTCTCCGGAGGGGTGCAAAAATCACAAAACCAAACTGATTGCCATGAATTGACTCGGACTCAGCCCCCCTATAGGGCACGGAAAACCTGGTAGAACTGCCCCTGTGGGTTTCTGAGACTAGTTCTTTTTCCCCCTGCAACCGCTTAGTATGTAACCACTACGCCCCAGGGCTCCTTCAGCAGCGGCTGGTACCCTCTGATTCAGCCACCTCCCAGGAGGACCGTGGGCACCCCAAGACCAGCCCATGAGCAACAGTCCCATGACCAGCAAGTCCGTGGGCACCATTTTCCACAGCATGCGCTCACTTCCTGTCTGTCATGCTCACAATGATAGAGATTTTCCCATCATGGCATTGCTCTCACTATGGTCTGAGGCCCACCTAGCTTTCATGGGGGAGAAGGAAGGGGCTGCCTGCTCCTATAGTTAGTCTGCGGAACCCACAGCGGCAGTTCTGTCTTGTCCAGGAGGGTCTCTGAATCGGCATCCACTCAACTGCAGTGAGTTTGCTTTGTTTCGCAGGGAAACCAAAGGGTTTGCAGGACTAGCTTCATTGAGACATGCGCTTTACTGGTCTGAGACGGAACCTACCCGTCACCAAATATCCACTCCCACTCTCCCCACCCTTCCTGCAGGGTGGTGGTCGGCCATTTGTGCTATTTCATCATTGGCATAAACATTTAGCCTTTCAGAACCATCGCTTCTCATGAGGAAGGAATTTGTGTATATTCTTCAACCCCAAAGGTGAACCTTCATAGTAGTGCCCTCAGGTGCACTGGAAATGGATTTGACAGGAGCTGGTCACCACACGCCAAGTAC